AGCACATGTCAAGAGCTTCGGTTGAGTCGCCGTGAAGTAAGGACGGTGGGGGCAACACCCCCATCAGTTGGCACCCAGAAGGAAGGCCACACTGACAACACACTTGAAGCAGTCCTCTTGGTCTGGCATGTCGCCGGTGATGTGGCTTTGTTTCTTTGGCGGTATGTCTGATCTGCTGCTTTTGTTCTTTCAGCCTCGACGGGATTCCAGGCTAGTCGAGACGGACATGCACGCAAGACGCATCACAGACTGACATGTAATCAAGAGGCACCCAAGAGGCTAACATGTACTCGGGCAGGGTTCACAGATTGCAGCAACCGGACACGAAGAACATATGCCACCACCAGATGACCGCCAGCTGGGTAACTCTCCCCTGGTGCGCCATTTCAACAGGTACGTTTACACATCCTCGCACTTGTGGTCTTCGTTGGCTGAGGCACAAATCAAGGATCTTCAGCCCCCGGCTTTTTCATGCTCATGTTGTTTGATTCAAAGGCTGTTTAATAGCCCTTCGACACAGGGATGGTACGCCCACACACACACACACACACTCCCTCTCTGTATCTCGCGTCTCTCGCTGTGTCCAGGCTCCGCGACAACCTGCTCGTGTTCGCCCGGCGACCAGTATTTTTGAGCCTGCTACAATTCTGAGCACACTTGGGCAAGCTCTGGTGCCTTGTGAAGCAGCACAAAGCATGCACTTGCAGTCTGGCTTGGTTGTTATGGCCTCTTGTAGGTTTCCGCTGCCTGATGCTGCCATGATAAACAAGCAAGGTGCATGTTTGGGTCCTTTGTCGGGCTGTGTCTTGGGCTAAGGACCCTTCGCTTCATTGTTTGTGCTGCAGCCCGTGGTTGTAAGGCATTCATTGGCTGTTCATTAACTACTGTCCTGATTCCCTTGCAGGAATTGATGGGCCCTGCAGCAATGGCGGATCTGTTGAAATTTCAAGAGTGGGCACAGGCTCGATCCGCCGCTGTCCTTTGTCATCAGGCCGTACTGCATATTAACGCACTGCAGTGCTTTTCCTGCAAGGCACAGCCCTTCGACTTTTGGGATGCCATTTCTCCTGGAGCTCTGTTCTCGCGACCTTTCAGGCAACGGGGCAGGGCAGCGGCCATGGCAGGGTGAAGACCGTTACCTTCTGGCATCAAGCTTTCCTAGGACAGACCAGAAGAGCTCGCACAGGCCGAATCTGCTCAACAGCGTCGTCTTCTATGTTGAGTTGGTGCAAGGCATGAATGAAATCAGGAAGGTTGCCCGTCATTGACATTTGAGGAGGGTCGGGGCAGGAAAGCAACAGCTCGCTCAAGTGGTGACCTGTTGCGACTTGGAGTTACAAGCAGCCTGGACAGGTATAGCCATTCTGCTCGTGAACTACAAGGGAAGACCATGGATACAGGTTCCTGGATTCTTGCTGCCAAACCTGTTTGATCTTTCAGCCTGCAGATCCCTGCAGTTGGAGATCTCGCATAGCCCGGATCAAATGGTGGCTATAAATAAACACCATGCTCAACAGGCATCCACTCTGAAGCCAGATGCCAGAGACATTCACTAGCTGATTATCAACAAGTACAAGAAGTACCAATATCACGCCTTCTCGCGGTAAAACCCAGAGGCTGTTCACGACTTGTCTGCGAAAGAAGCTTTGACCGGTCGAAACTTCATATTATATGGCCACCTTAAGTTCGCATGCTGCTCTTGTTTTCGGAGCTGTGTTAGTTGCTTGTAGTGCAGGCTTATCGAAGTGACTCCGTGGGGCTGTGCTCTGCACGCAGGGAATTCTGGAGAACCCACCCCTCCTTGCAGCAGCTGCATCGGCCCTGGCCTTGGCTGCTGCCGGGGCGACTGGTTGGTCCCAGGCTGGTATTCGGGCCGTGGTCTCAGAGACTGCACTCCCGAGGGGCGTCGTCAGCCGAAGCTATGTCCACTGCTGCATTGTTTGCACTCTGTGTTTTAATTGCTGCTTTGCTGCAAGCATGCAGCCGAGTCCAGGCTAGATCTGTTCAGCCCCAAGCAGTTCGTTTGTCGTTGTGGTGATTGTGTGGTTGTGGTGGCACATTTCGCCTCCTCTCGGCCCGCCTCAGTACACGTCACGGCCACCCAGCCAGATGGGAGGCAAGGCTGAGGAAAGCAAGGTTTGAGGGTGGTGGGGCGGGGGGAGGAAGAAGAGATAGGATCCAGGAGAGGGAAGCGTGCTCGTCGACGGGGAAGACGGTTTCGTTAGACAGCCAACCTATGTCAACCTCAAATGACTTCCTATCAAGCAAGCGCATGCAGTGTCGCAAGGCGCTCCAGCTCACGACACTACCGCCTTTGCTTCAAGAATGCCGCTCAGTTTCGTCGTTTCCAAGCCGAGCAACCAGACGCAGGCATGCCGCATCATGCCGCGCAAGTCTTGAGCACAAGGTCAGGCTTTCCGCCTTGATATTCCTCTCGCTCTTGGGCACATGGGTTCTGGACAGAACGTTGGAGGCCGAACTTATCCCCTGATGCACGTAAATTGCTGTCACGATCAGACAGAGAAAGGGTTGAAGGAATAAGGCGTGCGAGCAGTTAACTGCAAACGCCGCTGCTGCACAGGCGTTTCTTTGCAGAGATCGGGCCATCGCAAGGCACCACTATGGTTGGGTGGTTGGTTGATGGTACTTGCCTTTCGCAAAACTGCTCTGCTGTCATTCTATACAAATGCGGTCGCAACAGCAGGTGGGAAGCGCCTGTTGCCCAAGCCTCAGATTAAAATTAAAGCCAATCAGAGCTAGATTTCCGAGTGTTGTGGTGACAGGAGTCGCCACTGGAGTGCGCTAAGGCAGTCCCAGATCTGAAACCGTGGCTCTTCGGAACCGCCAAAGTTGCGGTAAGCGCTGGAAGCCGAAGTTGCAGACACTGCCGACATCTGCCGACACTTGTGCGTTGTCACAGGTACGGTATCTGCCCTGGCTGCTCTGGCTCTTGCTGGTGCTGTCGGGAGACATGCTCTTGTGGATAGTGGCGTGGCAGCTGTGGTGGGCTTAGCACTTGAGACTTACTCTCAGAGACGAATGGCACGCCTTGCGAAACTGCACGAGCCAGTACAAGCCACAAGTTCTGAAGCCAGGCTGTCCGCGGTAATCCGTGTCCGCACGGATGCTTAACCACACTTTAACCACCAACCTATCCCATCCAGGTTGTTGCACAGTGGCATTTTGGAACAAGAAGGCTCAGAAGACACATACCTTTTCAGCCAAGCCTAGCTCACCAGAGACCCCTGGGTTTCCTTTGATTGTTTTCAACATTTTTCAATCAGTGCGTTTCTTACACAAGATGCCCAAAAAAAGAGAATCGGATTGCACCTTGCCCACAACAACCCGCCTTCACCGGCAAATCGCTGCCGGATGGTGCGTTTTCTACACCGCACTTTACCTACGAAAGACCTGTCGTCAAAGGCAAATTGCCGTCGCATCGTGGTCTCGTGCGTAAAGTTGCTCGTTGCCGTCCGTTTTTCTGAGGTTTCCAGTGTTTGCAGTTCCTGCAATGTTTTCAGAGGTGAGGGTCTACTTTGCTGAATGGATAGATTCATTTTCGATGCCGTCAGCTTCTGAGGTGGAGGTGGCTCAGAGCTCGCCGCCGCGAAGAGATCACAGCAGCATGAAACTGATAAAAGCTGCACACGCATGACAGGTGTGGAGTCGTGTTTAATCTTACCAGTCAGAGCTACACGTTCTTGGCTCGCACAGTGTCAGTGCTTCGTGGGTTTGCAGTCGAGCTTTTTGACTTACCGACTTACCGCGTGGACTTGGATGGCGAGGAGGAGATCAGCCCAGAGCGCAGCCGCAACGCATGAGTCCGTCTGCTCTCGCAGTTTTGTTCCGGAGGACCCATCCGATGGCCAGTCTTCTGGCGACAGGCCTTTCTCTGTGATTTCATGGTGCGTTCCTTTGAGCATGCTGGAGACATTTAGAGCTATGCTACGCTATGCTGCAATGCTGTCAGGTCTGGATTCTCGGGCCTGGACGATAAATACGGCCAGAGATGACGGACAGATTGCTCGCAGGCTGGGATCCGCTTCGTGACATAGTTTAGAGAACCCCCCACGTTTCGCCTCACGACAAGTTAAGACCATTGCGACTTTCAGCGTGCTCTTCCTGCTACACTATATTGCGCAGAGTTGCTGCATAAGCCAAACTTCCGAGGCAATGTGCTTTAGTGGGTTCTTATATGAAATCCATGACTTCCATCAGGGCCGGAACTGCACAGCTCTTCGAACTTAGTGGCAGTTGCGGGTGCCCTAGAAGATCCTTGAATTGACTGTTAGAGACGACGTAGGGTTTTGCCGCCGTTAAGTGCCTTGATCCGTGGCTAAAGCTCGGCTCGAGCTCTCTTTCTTTTGCAACTGGGTTTTACCAGAAGGGTGCCATGGCACCGAGTGCCATCGCCGGCTATCTCCTCGTCTGGCTGACGATTCTGGACTTTCTGGCTCCCACGCGTCACAATCGGCCTCCTGAGAGTGCTCCACCCAATGCTGACATCCAAATGCGCCGATCTTTCCGCTCTTTCGCACGACGCCCCCGCTTTGCCCTAAGCGGTCGCCTCAGTCGCTGGCGCTTTCGGGGAGTGGCAGTTGCCCGGCAGTGCCTCGATGCAAGTGCGCCGGTGCACCGAAGAGCGGTTTCTGCCAAAGGCACCCAAAAGAAAGGCGGACCCAGCCTTGACAGTGGACATTCTAGCGGGAAGCCAATCGCATCTGGAGCTGTTCAAGGTGAGGCGGACAGCGACACAGGAGAGGTATCGGCGCGTGTTGGGGACTTTTCTGGTGTGGTGCGAGGCGTACCTCTCGTTGAGCCACAACTGGGACGACTTATAATTACCGCCTACCCCAACGAGCTTTACGCCTGCAAGGTGAGCGTCAGCGTCGCGGAGTACACGTTCGCCGCCTTCAAGCACAGGTTCCCCGAGCACGGCAAGTTCGGCATCCAGGCCGACTCAAGCCTTGGAAGGCTACCGAAACCTGGCGCCGCCGCTGATGCACCTGCCGACCCCGAGGGCGGCGTTCATCGCCATCAAATGCGTCATGTTGGCACAGAGAATGATCATCATGGCCATCGCCCTCCTTCTGCAGAGGGATTTGCTTCTCCGGCCCGGCGAACTGGCGAGCCTGACCGTTGGTCAAATGGTCCCGCCAGCTGGCGCCGCGGATATGTGCAGATGGGGTGTGATAGTGGCTCCGTCCGAAGGTGGGAGTGGCGACCCAAGCAAAACCAACCTCTACGACGAGGGCATTACCCTCTCACCCATATTGGATATTCTTACCGATGCCATCGCGGAACCGAGGGAAGCTCGAATGACTTCGCTGATGCTCTTTCCCTTCACCTGCGCCCAGCTGGCCGAGCAGTTCAAGAAAGCGGCGGCTCGCGTGGGAGTGGCGCGCTTAGGTGCAACTCTTTACGGGAACCGCCACAGCGGGGCAAGCGACATGAGGTTGCGGGGTGTCGGTCGGGCTTCCGGAAATCAAAAAGCGGGGTCGTTGGGCTGCCGACTCAAGCCTGCGAAGGTACGAGAAAGCCACGGTGGAGCAACAGCAGCACCGGCTCAGACGCGAGTCTACGCCGACTTCGTCGAGACGCAGTTGGAGCAACTGGGACCGTTGCTGCGCCAAGCCATCCGCCTGCCCTCGGAAGACAATCTGGCGGCAGTGCAGCGACAAGTGGAGCCGCTGCCCAAACTGAGCTAGGCGAACGTATGCGCAGACATTTGCGACGCAAGTTTCAGCGGGCTCTTCGGCACGCCGCTGTCAATCGTCGCCAGGTCTTCGTCGAGCTCTGTGCCAGAGATGGTGCTATCAGTCATGGCCTTCGCAAGATGGGGTTTGCAGTCGTCTTTTTGGACATCGCCAGCTGTCAACTCGAAAATGTGTTACACGCAGTTGTCCAATCAACACAGCTGGGATGGATCTCTTCTGGTGCTCTTTTGGGTATCTGGGTAGGAGCTCCTAGCTCGTCTTGGGCATTCAACGAGGCGTCCTTTATCTTCCGCACAAAAAAGCACATCCTCGGCATTCCCAGCCTTTACGGTGAACACCTTGGTGCCGTTAGCTTGGGCAACAGTACCCTGCAATTTAGTGCTCCAGTCATCCGGAGGTGTATTCGCTGTGGAGTGCCTTGCTGCCTGGAAAACCCGCTTACCAGCTTGCTGTTTCTCGCCCATCCATTGCGATCTCTGCGCAAACATCCTTGCTGTCAGAAGTTCAAATCGGACCTCTGCCAGTACGTAGTTCAATGGAAAAGGGCCACTAAGGTTGTGACATGGTTCTGTGGAACTGGGGCACCTGCTCTCAGGTGTCAGCCAGTGCATACTCGCAGCTGCAGCCGCATGCACGGTCCTCATCAACAGTTAGGCAGAGCTCCTCCCACTGGAGTCCCTTGGACGGCTCTTGCTCAACAATATCCCTCGAAGTGGGCACAGCAATGGTCGCGCGTTTTGTTCGACGTGGCTATGAATGGCATCCAAGCTCGATTGTTACGGTGTGTTTCTTGTGTGTAGTGGTTGTCTCCTTCTCCAGTACCTCTTTCCGACAGTGTACGGGGTGGCATCTACGTTGATTCCTAAGCGAGTCAGCTGGAGCCGTCTTGTATCGACAGATTGATCACCCAACCCGGCCGCTCAGCTTCTCTCACAAAAAGCATCCTGGCCGATTGAGTGACATGGGCTCTGCTCGGCAGATGAATGTCACACGAAGGGCCGCTCTCCCTTTCCGATCAAGATTTAGCTGCGCCCGCTCTCCCGCCCGGTTTTCCTTATCACAGTGAGAGGGGGTGGCATCTACGTTGATTCCTAAGCAAGTCAGCTGGAGCCGTCTTGTATCGACAGTTTGATCTCCCAACCAGGCAGCTCAGCTTCTCTCATAAAGAGCATCTGGGCCGATTGAATGACATGATTACGAATAAGCGTCGTTGCTTTTGTTTTGTTGTTGTTGTTGTTGTTGTGATTCTAGCTGCATTTGTTTGGTGTTGCCATTATCATCGTTAAAACTGCTATGATACATCTTATGGTCTAAAAAAACATTGACGTTTTCTGCCTACTGGAAACCAAAATTCCTTTTACTCATCGCAGTGCTAGTGGGCTCGAAGGTAATGTATGTCCTCTATGACTGCTGAACTTGTCTCACTGTCGTAGTGTACCTCCTATTCGTGCTTCGCATTCTCAGAAGCCTGTTGGGAGCCCTTCTGCGTTCGACAGAAAAATGTGGATATCTGAAGCACGCCCTAAACAACCCATCGAAAAGCCCTACATAATGTGGAGCAGTGGCCGTTCATAGTAATAGTGATAGCAATAACAGTAGTAATATACTGGAACATAAGAGCAATTGTCATCATAACAAGGATATAATATAATATACGAATATTGGTGCAATACTGTTATAATGACATAATAACAAGAATAATATAGTACTTTTGTGTACTTTTCATATCCCTCGCAACCATGTCAAAGGAGCACCCAAAGGCCTTGTCAAACCGATCGTGGCAAGCTATAAGCCATGTAAATTTCCGCTTCTCGCATTCATTATCACTTGCGCATAACCGCATTATTTTTATTGTTATTAACATCGCTATCATTCTTATCATAATTCTTATCATTCCGTTCATGACTGTATTATTGTGTTGTGATCATCACTATTACTGTGAACGGACGGCGAAGCATTGTCAGTTCGGAAGACCACAACAATAAGAGTATCTACTCACGCACTTACGACTCCGGTTCTCTGGTCGTAGGATGGCACAGCTTCCAGCTTTGCGTAACCGCAACACCTGTTGCTCAAGAATGTGAATTATAGCCAAACTAATTCGGTTTATCTGCGGTCGAGCCATACGGCAAGCTCTGCCGCGCAATGCAGAGACCAAGTGCAGACACGCTCAGCACGAACAAACACCCTTGCGTCGCAGTGCTTGCTGGGAGAGACACCTGGGAACGTCTACATGAAGTAGCAGCTGCATTCCTGAATCAACGATATATCAAGACCAAACCTTCATGCGATTATTGATTATTGTTGCATATTGTTGTTATTTTTATTATCATGGTTAATTATTGTGGTATTTCGAGAAAGTTGTGGTAGCTGGGTCACCTGCAACCGTTAAGTAGGCTGTAGTTAAACCCCCGGTTTCACGTATGTCGCTGTCCTCACGTCGTGGAATCATGTGGAATCCTTGCACATGATCCAAAGCCTCAGGATCAACACATTTTATCATACTTTATCACTTTGGACCTCCGGCACCAGGGACCCGCAATCTTGTTTCGTGCCCATCTGAGCAAACCTGGCCGATGAATCTAGCGCATACAAGGCCGTGGACGATTGCGTCGCTGCTTTCCTCACCGCGGGATGTCTGAGCCAGGACGGAGGGAGGATGAAGGAGCGGCTTAGTACTAGGTTGATTGTATGTATATGTTATCTGCATTGTTATGATCACCATGACATGTATGCCAAGCAAGCCACGAGCGCGACCAACCGATGTGTTTTCATTGTTGTCGATGTTGGTGTTGGCTTCGTCATTGTTGCCGGTATCCCTCAAAGGTCTTGTTGTTATCACGACTGTGTGAACTGCCAGTGTCCCTACCAGTGTCGTTACATGTTGCTTATGATTCATCATAATCTCCGGCACCATCATAATCATCATTATCCTATTAGGTTTTTCCTCCTCTCCCTATTCTTATTATTTTTCTTCTGCTTTTGTTCCACCACCACCAGCACATCCTTTACCAGCACCACCACCTCCGGCAGCAGCAGAAGCAGCAGCAGCACTAGCACCGGCACCGCGAGGAACCAGCACCAGCAGGACACACAGGCGCCTCAGAAAACAACCATGGGTCAGGGGCTCAGAAGCCTAGATGCGTTTGGTGTCAAGCTTTGTGTTTAGGGTTCTGAAGTTCTGTTCTAGCTGCCTCGCAGATGCATCAGTACTCATGGTGCTGGAGCGATTTAAGGTGTTCAGCCGCGTTTCTAGCACCTTTGAAAAGTTGGCTTTGCTAGAAAAGTCCAGAGGATGTCCAAAGACCATCATCATTTCGATTTTTGAAGAACGGCAACGCAGCATTTTCGGCTTTCCGGCAAAGTTGCCTGAAGCACTGCTGAAGGCGATCTCTGGGGACGAGCATGGCTAGGACAGGCACGGCGATGACACCTTACGAAGAGACGCCGTCAAAGGAGGATGCTGAGATTCTGCTGGAGCCACAGGACCC